CTGAAATTGTTTCCATCATAGTGTCTTTTTGAGGCACTTCCTTATCGTATTTCAAGCTAAGACAAACGGATACATATTCTCTAATAAAGGTTAAATTATCTATTTACCATTATTTATTTCCTATATATGGGAAAATAGAAATGAAAATGCTCTTTAGCAGGAGGATTGGGAAACTTTTTTAGCTACAGTTTCATGGGCACATATGCTTAATTAAAAATGCTTTCGGATGTCATTAGACGGGAGAAGAGCTCTTATGCTTCTTTTATTAATACTATTCAGAGTTGGCTAGAACATTATAAATAGTACATCTTTGAGTTTGAGCTATCAAATAAAGGGGAAATATAATGCTTAAAACATGCATATGACATTCCCTGAAATTCCCATCTGTCCTGTAACCCAAATGCACTCGTGGCGATATGGCGTAGTGAATAATGTGTTGAACTTACACGCTGTATTGTCATGGTTCGATTCCCGTTTTGTGTGTTGATAAGACCAATGCGAGGTCGAAACTGCAGTACTCTTCCGCCTGGATGAGAACACCTTTTGGGAAAGCAAAGCTATCTGAAATTCAATGAAAAGCATCAGCTTTACTCATGTAATTGTGGGAAAATTCAACTATCAGTCCTTCATCACCTTAAACGAAATAGGTTAAATATATCTTATATATATATATGTATCCTATTATTTTTGCCTAATTTATGGGTGAGGAAGAATCAGTTAATCTAGTCCATATCTGAGGATATCTGCCGAGTGACATTAAGGACGACAGTTTAGTCCATTTTTTATCATAACCGCCTTAGTAGCATCAAACGACTACAGAACAACAGACATTCACAGACGACTTCTGGTGAAATTGGCCCCACCCTCAATAAAGTTAACTTAGAAGAAGATATGAAGACAAAGATTTTGTAGCCTCTGGTATGGTCGCAGTCTCTTTTCGATTTATAGAAGTTGGTTGACCTCGTTCTCGCAACTTTGTCTTGTTGTCAAGGCGACTATGTAGAACGCACCTAGTCCGAAGTCGTCTGCCATAGTAGTTGTCATGATTCCCACCATCTGACAGTGGACTTGGTACATTCTCAAATGTTTCGCCGGCATCGTAATCGGCATCATCAGTGAGTTTTGGTATTCTCCGCACCAAGCTACGAACTAGACTTCACTTGTCTCTTTAACGAATTCGTAGCTCGGTGCGGAGAATGGCAATAGTCATTGATGATACCGACTTCGATGCCGGCGAAACGTTTTAGAATGTACCAAGTTCACTGTCAGATGCTGGGAATCATGACGACTTGAAACAAAGTGTGTTAACTTAGAAGATTCGCAGTGTGAAGACAATTTATAATATTATTTTTTACTTTTTGTTGATTGGGATGTATTGTTATTTTTCTCATCTACGGGCCAGGCTGGGAAGCGAAAAAGGGAGATGAACGAAAAAGACCGCACCTTTACTCGATATCGCGAGTTCGTGGATCAGGTGAAAAGCAAGAATCGGAGCAGCACCTTCGACCTCAAAAAGTGGCTGGCCAGCACCAGACCCCTGAAGGAGCCTTCTTTCGCGCCGCCCTTTCCGCCGGTCGTTCAGGCAGTTTCTGTCAAGCCCAAAGTCGGCGAGGTCCACACAAACTTTGGCTTCAAGACGACTGAAAGTGAACAACGCTTGGACAAAGAGGACGAAGAGAGCCTGGTTGACTTGAGTATCAACCTACCGAGCTCCAACGACTCGTTGGCAAAGTTTCTGGACGGTCAAATTCGCCCAGCAGACTCCTCAATTAAAGAAGATGGCAACGGCAAATCTACTCCTTTATAATGCCCTGGCAACCGAATTGCGAACTATTCACTGATTAACTCTGCTAAGTCACCTTTCTTCCTGCTTTTCATTATTTGACTGTTCAAGAAGTTGTCAAGAGAAACATGATTTTCATGTTGACCGTATCTGACCCGTCCTAAACCCGGGATCAGGGCGGGCATGTGCATACAATTTGTTCCTTGCTTTCTCGATTTGCCCCTTACTTTGTGCTTTCAACATGCATTTTTTGAGACTCACGCCGCCAGTACTCAAATTGCTTCTTAATTAAAATATGTTCGTATGACTGTGAGTTCTATCAATCTACTTAAACTGCTCGTATAACCTTAAATCTTACTGAAAAAATTATGTTTTTTGCCATTTCACGAAGACTCACCTTGTCGTCTAAATCAATAATTTGATCAGTTTAATGGCCCATTAGAAGAGCATTAGAAAAAAAATTAATTATTTGAGTTCATAGTGCAAAAACCTTAAGAAGTTGATTTGTGATTTGTAAAGATCTGGTGAAAATGAGCTCTGCGGCTTCTTCGAGCCTTCTTACTCCCGACGCAGATTACTTCCATATTGTAAATGAACTAAGTAATTACTTTATCTCAGAGTAATATGGCATCAATTATTGCTAAAATGACAGTTTGGTATATGCTTTTTTCCAGTTATATCCAAGTTTTCTGGCATTCTAGTTGAGCATCAGAAAATGCGTTTGAACCGATTCCATTCTGAAGCTATTGGACTCAAGAAAGGATGTGAATTAAAGAGGAAAGAAATGGAAAGTTTGATACCGGCATCATGTATAAGTGGGAATCAAGCGGATTCCCTTGATCTCGATAAGAACATTAAAAATGTAGAGGACAGGTGACATAGGATAAGAGGAGTAATTGGTTGCCATGGTAGCAGGTCAAAAACGACTGTCAGTTCTGGATCAAAATTGGGTTCTTCCAAAATGAACCGTCGATCTGAAAAATAATTTCCTATTTCAGGGACATTTTAGAATTATGGTTGCCTATTAATAAAGCCTCAATAAGGGTGAGAGGAAGTTGTAAAACTCCAGACAATTTATTTTTAGCCAAGTTCAGTCCAGCTTCCTTTGTTGAGTATGTAGTTAAGGTAATAATCGGAGACTCTACCAATAACCGAATAAAAGTCTCACTCGTTCGTTTAACTCCGCCATATGAGATTTCTTTATCCAATTTGGCTTAAGGTCATGAAGGACTCGTAGAAGAAGATGTTTCCATTAAATTTTAACATAGTCTTGAATTCCCAAAGTTTTTTCTCATCCGCCATGTCTGATTGTCTGTAAGACTGTTTTCATCTGGACCGGACTGCAGATTCTATCCCTCATTGGCCTCATAAGCAATCACATCTGGAATGTACCACGTCCACTGTCCTACTCTGGAAATGATGATGCATACAATGGACTCCGGACTAGATGTGTTATTTTGCACACTCTGTCTCAAGCCTTTGGTAGCCTCGTAACTAGGCCGTCAAAGTCTGTATTCTCAAGCTGGATGGGAGACTAACTTGAGACTATAGATCCCGAAGAAGTGTCATGGTCAAGCGTTTGCTTCATGGACCACGTCTCTGGTGAAACGCGTCTACTGTTGTCCAACTGGCTCTACTTTCCGCCGCATCCCTCGTGCTTCTATTCATAATGCCAAGGATATGACTTCATATGCCCTAGTCTCTTGCCTACCAACCCACAAGTGATGTGGATCTACTTTTTTTGATTAGGCCCACTGAAGACGTCTCCTCCTGGCTTCAGAATGTTCCGTCCTGCTTTCATAAACTTAAAGATGTCACCTTGATCCAGTCGTCTTCTTTTTGATGATCTTACTGTTGCCTGATCTCCGAGTTGGCTGAAGCAATATGCACAGTTTTTGCTAGTCCTGCCGTCTTCAAGTCTCCTGTTCATTAGATTTCTCTTGGTCATTACATCGATGGCCTCTCGGATCTTGCATTTTCTCGTATTTTCACCATATTCAGGCAGCCTTTATGTCGATTTCAAGTCGATTCCCTGCCGATTTCCTGTCCCATTCGTGCAATGTGTTCTGCTATTTCGGATCTTTCTGTATCCATATTCCTACAGAGTCTTTGATGTTCCTTGTTTCGTAGGCCGATTTTTCTTCCTGTCCCACCAATATACTTCTGCTCACAGTTGCCGAATTTGATGCGATAAACTCCCGAGCAATCAAGTTTGTACGTCTTCTTGTATTGCGTTTGCGGACTGGTGAAAAGTGTTTTCTTCTCCTTTTTTATCACCATGATATTCCATTGCCTTAGTAACGGTCGCAATTGTTGGCTCAGTTCTAAGGAGCGCAGGCAAATCCAGTTCTAGTCGTCTTCCTGTTTCCTGATCCGATTTTCATAAAATAATAGTTAAATTCTACTCTTTATGACACCTACATTTCTTTCTATACATTCTCTGGGGTACCAGTTACTAGGCAAAACTGGAGTCAGTTCCTCCAACTCCTCGTCC